TAGATTCAACCACCACTGATGGTGTTAAGAGATGATTAAGTTGATTGAGATGATTCTACCACCCATTATGTTATTTGTGTTATGTTGAATTATATCAAATTCAAGTAGTATTTTGGACATTTGTTGTTGGTGTTATATTTGGATATGTTATGCTACATTATGTTGTGTTAGATTATGTTAGATTATTTAAAATATTATTGAATTATTTAAAATGTTGGATTTAATTAGAATTTTAGATTATGTTGGCTTGAACTTGGGCTTAAGCTTAGACTTGGGCTTGGGCTTAAGCTTGGGTGAATACGGGGGGAGCGGGGACAGGAAATAAAAATTTACTCGCGGACAGGGATGGAGATGAAAATTATACTGTTAACAGAGGTGAACCAAGGATGGACGGAGTTTTTTAAACGGGTATGGGGATGAAGACTACACCCCTGCCTCCGCTTCAGTCCACTAACATCCTTACCACCACAAGAGTCCCGAGAGGAAGTATCAGGCGCCCCTACGCCCGCCTGTTCAAAATACACTGCCTCCACCCACCATGATGCTAGCCCAAACATTACCTTGAGAGGACTTGACGTCTCGGAGATGGTTCCATAGCCTGCACAACCAAAGATGTCACCTATGCAGCCCAGGACACCGCCTGTGCTACCCAGGGCATCGCCCACTCTGCCCCAGGCGTCATCTAGCAGCCCACTACCTCTTGCCTTTCCGGTGCCATCACGACTCCCCTTGTCGTAGACAGCGTCGCCCGAGCTGGCGCTACTACTACAGCCTACTACACTAGGTTGGAGACTCTACGTGGATGGGTCCTCCACCAGCGAGGGCGGTGGCGTGAGGCTAGTGCTGATCAGCCCCCATGGCACTCCGTTGAAGTACGTCGTCTCCCTCCACTTTGCCACGTCAAACAATCAAGTTGAATATGAGGCCCTCATATCAGACTTGAAGCTTGCGTTGGAGATGGAGGCCCTTTGCCTGACAGCCTACAGTGACTCCCAACTCATAGTCAACCAGGTAAAGAGAGATTTTGAAGCAAAGGAGGAAAAAAATGCACGAGCACCTCTCAGTGGTCCAAACCTTGTTAAAAAAGTTTACCTGTTTCCAAATCCACCATGCGCCTCGAGAGGAGAACGTTATGGCAGACACCCTCGCCAATTTTGCGTTTGCCAACATACTTTTAGGCTCAGCACTAACAGGCCACCAGTTCAAACTAAGCACCTCCAAGGCAGAGGAAGACGATGTCAATTGTGCATCCTTGGAAACAAATTGGATGACTCCCATCTGGGCTTACTTAGAGGAAAGCGCTCTCCCAGACAACCCAATGGAAGCTAGAAAGTTAAGAATGAGAGTGTCTAGGTATGTTATCCTACAAAACACCCTCTACAAGAAAAGTTATACCTTACCACTACTCCGCTGTCTCACCCTCGAGGAAACCGATTGCACAATGAGGGAAATCCACGAAGGAATATGTGAAAATCACTCAAGAGGGCGTGCACTAGCTCACAAAGCAGTTAAACAAGGTTATTATTGGCTTACCATGATTAGAGACACCCGCGAGTTTGTCAGGAGATGTGACAAGTGCTAACGCTTCGCTACTGTGTCCAGATATCCACCCAAAAAGCTCACCACCATTCAGAGCCCATGGCCCTTCTTCATATGGGGGATCATCGTCCTAGGTCTCTTCCCTATGAGTTGGGGCTAGTGCAAGTTCGTAGTGATAACCATTGACTATTTTACTAAGTGAGTAGAAGCCGAGGCCTTAGCTAGGATAACAGATCAGAAGATAAAAGACTTCATATGGAAGAGTGTAGTCTGCCGCTTCAGGATACCTCATGCATGCCATTGTAAGTGACAATGCCAAGTGGTTTGATAACAAACTCCTCAACGGCTTCTGTGCTAACCTACAAATCAAGCAGTCCCATTCCAGCCCCGCCCATCCACAGGCAAACGGGCAAGCAGAGGTCACCATCAAGACCATCCTCCGCAAATTAAAATCCAGACTGAAGAGTGCGAAAGGACGATTGGTAGACAAACTCCCAAGAGTGTTGTGGGCTTACTGGATGACACTAAGGAGCCCCACGGGCGAGACCCCATTCTCCCTAGCATATGGGACAGAAGCTGTCATCCCCGTTGAGATTGGGGTACACTCATTTAGGGTCTAACACCATAACCCTACCAGTAATGAAGAAGGCCTCCGCATCAACCTCGACTTGATAGAGGAGAAAAGGGAGATACCCATGCTCAAGAACAACTAGAGGGTGAAGCCTCGCTCTTTCTTGCCCGGGGACCTAGTCCTCAAAAAGGTCATCCTATCTACCAAAGACTCCTGAGAAGGAAAACTAGAACCCAACTAGGAAGAACCCTACACGGTCACGAAAGTTGTAAGACAGAGCACCTACAGAATTCAAAATTTTGAGGGGAAAATTCTGGCCCATCCATGGAACGCAGAGCACCTAAAGAAATATTACTAGTAACTGGGGGCAGGGCAGTGAATGTATAAATTAGTAGTCACCATTTAGATTATCTATTTTTGTTTTGGTCAATTTCTCTTAAATATTTACTTTGGATTATGAAATAAAATTTTGCAATATTTTTTCAAAAAATTGTATTTCATAGAAGTTCATAAAGCTTTTACAAAAAAATAGAACATAACCTAGCAACAAAAACGTGAATACAAACATACCATGCTCCTAACGGCACTCACTGCCTTCGCTCCCATCATCACCCGCGTCCTCATCATCAGTCCCTAAAGCCTCATAAGGGACGAAGCCAGAAAAGTCATAAGCGAGAAAAGCAACTGAGACCTTCCCCTGAGCTCCTCATAGCAATCAATAAAGGCGCCTATCATGGTCCTCTCAGTAGCATCCCTCTTCTTCTCCATCTTCATAGAGTAAGCCTCTACCCTAGTAGCTCTCTCAAGAGCTGCTCGAAGGTCAGCCTCTGACATAGCGGCCCTTTTACGGGATGCTCGCAGCTCTATCTCTGTAACCTCTTTGTCAGCCTCCAATTGGGTGGCCCTCTCGTAGGACGCTTGAAGCTCAGTCTCAAGTATAGAAGCTCTCTCGTGTGCTAGCCTCTACTATTCCTTGGCATCCTCTCACGTCTGTCGCTTGAAACCCAACTACTCTTTAGCAGCCCTTCGTGCCTGCCCCTTTACTGTCTGACCATCAAGTGCCTCCCTAATCTTCAACGTACTTGAAAACAAGGAGGGAAAAACAGTAGCCACTTGCAGGCATTCAAAAGGTGGAATATTAAGGAAATAAGTCAAGTACGAAACCAAAGAAGAATGAAGGACATACCAAGGCAAAGCCCTTCATAGCAGCGTCAACAATGCCCTCTGGACCTCGAGAGGCAACCTCCAAGATCTCCGCACGAGTCACAAACTCCCAAAGTCACTCCTTAGCCAGTTTCACATCCTGTAGCATGGATACTGAACTACTGCTCAAAGCAGGACGGCTAGGCAGAGCCTCTGTCCTAGTAGGAGACTGCACCAGGGCCTCAGTCCCCGCAATCGTATTGGGACTATCTCTGGGTGGTGAAGGAACAATAATCGGGGAAGAACGGGGGGCATCACTAGGTTCTGCCTCTCGGGGACTAGCCTGGCCAGTGGACCTCGGTTGAGAAGCACTAGAAGCATTAGACTTCATCCTCTTAGAAGAAGGAGGAGAAGACGCCACCCTAGAGGCATAGATAGCCTCCACTACCGCTTTATTAATGGAGGTACCTGCAGAATTGGTGTGAGATAAAAAGCCTACGACGTTGTAACCATGAAGAGTTTATTGGAAAAATTAAATACCTTTCCTCTTCGGTATGGGAGTAGCCTTGGAATGACCTGAAGCGGACATAATCCCTGAGAACTCCTTAAACAGATGGTCACGTGCCATTTGGAGTCTACCCACTTGCTCTGCGGACAATGTCGGTGAAACTATAAAGAAGTTAGTCACACAATACGATCAGGTATATGACAACTAGAAGTAAAATAAAAAATGGAGTCCTTACCTAGCCTGGTCCTGGGGATGGTGTCCCACCTCGAAGCCACCAGGTCACGATCACTCTAGGTGGCCCACTCGCCTCCAACAAAGAAGAACTTGGTTTTCTAGACATGACAATTCGAAGGAAGTCCAGTGATGAACTTACCCAACCTCGGGACGAAACAGGCGCACCCCTGATAAGGGATGGGGTTCTCCAGGAGCACATACGTGGCCAAGAACTCCTCGAATGGGGGAGGGACATCAACATTGTGAACCATTTGCCACAATGAAAAGAATGCCAGTATCACCCTTTATCCGTTGGGAGCCAATCGACAGGTGCCCCAGAACCTAACATATGGGCCCAGGTATCGAGAACCTCAAGCTTGCCTCCAACACATCCTCATAAAGGGCAATCTCGCCTGAAGAGTCACAACATGCCATCTCGTCCTCCTTTGCACGACAACACATTACAGCGGAGGGATGCGGTACAAAGATACAATACCAGCAATATCCTCGTCACAGTCAATGGAGCTGAATATGGAGGTCACCTTAGAACCATTGTCTCCAGCGGGCCTCTTGCCTCTCCTAGTGTCTCAAGTAACCTCCCTCATGATGCGCTCGTCAGAACGGGTACCTAGCAACAAACAGAACCAAGAGGAGGTCAAAATCAATGTTAAGGCAATCAGTTTCAAACTCTTTAGCAATCCAAAATGTATCCAGCTATGCCTATGATGCGCTTCGACTAGATTTCAGGGATCGACCTGCCTCGATCAGGTCGTGGGGTTCCACCTAAACGATTTTCTAAATTGTACACTAGAGGTATGTCATGAAAAATATAAAGAAAAGTTCAAAATGTATGCCACAAAAGTTTAGAGGTATGTCTTACCCGTGTTCTTCCTAGGGTTTCCCGTCGTGCCTGAGTCCCCACCGCCATCTTTGGCCTAGGCCTGCCATCGCCTGAGCCACTTGTATTGAGCCCTACACCGCATCGTTGCAACCTGGCATTGCCCATGGTAGTTGAGCAGGTGCCGCCTATGGCAGCTGCGCAGGCATCGCCCACTTGCCCTCTGCTTCAGCGTCCACTCCTTGCTCCTCTGCTCCACTGCCCAAGCCCTTGGCACCGTCAACAAGGGACCCAGCGCTACCATCCACTCCGGAGCCCACGCCAAAGGCACCGCCCACTCCACAACGGGCGTCACCTATGCCCTCTCTCCCTGCGCCTGATGCTACGCCAAAGCCACCCGCAAAGCTGGCACCACCCAGTGTCGCACTGGCGTCGCCCATGAAGCAGGCACCCAGTTCTCCCATCTCTCCCTCTCGCTCTCTCTCCCTCCTACAGACGTTGCCCCCAACGGCTGGTTGGCGCCACCCAATAGCTGACTGGTGCTGACCAACAATCCGCTGGCTCCGCCTAGGGACCTCCTTGTGTGGGTCTCTCCATTTCCCTCGGCATTTTCTAATATGTCATTGTTATCCTCTTTGCCTGATCGACCTTTTGGCTTCCCACATCTCTCCATTGACATATTTCCCCACTAAAGCACTCTAGATGAATCATTCTGAATAATTCTCTCCCAATCTTCAATGAAGGTTGTAAATGCCCAAAGAGAAAGAGTTGCAAATACCCAAATAGAAAGAGTTGCAAAGAGGAAAGGATAAAATGGTTTCTATATATAGTAGCCCTTTGAAACCCTAAAGAAAAAAGAAAAGAGATTCTCTGAACATGAATTCCTTTTTAGCTTGGAATGATGGGTGTTCAGTGGTGAAATGAGGAAGCCGAAGAAGCTATACCGTGGGGAACAAGAAACGAGAGCTCACTCATGCCCTCAAAATCTTTGACATAGTAAGTATTTGGGGCATGGGGGCAAATGACGAACCTAAGTCTAACTGGGCTAGGCCCAATAAATCAAGCAAGCCCAAGTCAGCTAACAGGCAGCCTAAGTCCGCTTTATCAATTTGACCCAGTCCAAGATCCAAGGAGTCCACGAAGGAATGGGCACGTGGGAGAGAGATCCTCGCCAAAGAAGTAGTGCTCTCATACTCACATCACCGCCTCACCATACCTATAAATTGCAAGCTCTCTCCATATAGAGGGTCATCTCCCATTACACCTCTTTACACACACATAGCTTCTCTCTCCTAGCTTGTAAACCCCACACTTTTATCTTTATATATGTATATAGGTTTATATAGCAAGTAATTATTTTTTTTGAAATGAATATGGTAAAATTTGAGTAAATAGTAGTTAAAGCTTAGTTTTAACTTGCAAATATATGAAATCATTGTAATAGAACTTGTACCAACTAGGTTTGATGTATAAAAGTATGTTATATAAGTTTGGATTGAAATTGGTAGGGCTTGGAATGGATTAAAAATGAAGAAAGGAGGATTTGTAGAAAAACAGGCAAAACATTTCGGAAGGTTAAGGTAAAAGCTTATCCAGTAGGCAAAATCTTCTGGAAGGTCGATGACAAACCTTTCGGAAGGTTAATGAAAATATTGTCCAGTAGACAAACCTTCTAGAAGGTTAATGTAAATTTTCTTCCGAAAGGTTAATGTGAATGTGTATTTAGTGGGCAAAACCTTCCAGAAGGTCGATGAAATCCTTCCGGAAGGTTAAAGCAATGTTCTTNTTTAGTGGGCAAAACCTTCCAGAAGGTCGATGAAATCCTTCCGGAAGGTTAAAGCAGTGTTCTTCCGGAAGGATAATGAAAAATTTTGTNTCCGAAAGGTTAATGTGAATGTGTATTTAGTGGGCAAAACCTTCCAGAAGGTCGATGAAATCCTTCCGGAAGGTTAAAGCAATGTTCTTCCGGAAGGTCCATGAAAAACCTTCTGAAAGGTTAATGAAAAGGTTTGTCTAATAGGCAAACCTTTTGGAAGGTCGATGAAAATCTTTCGGAAGGTTTTTGAAAAATTTGAAATTTTAAGTCGCGAACAACCGACTTTCCTTCCACTATAAATACTTAAGCACGTCCCATTTAGCCCCATTTCAACACTTCTAACCCTAGGAAACCTTAGGGAGGAAGAAAGAGTGGGAAAAACACAAGATCAAAGGGGATTTCCACTTCAAGAAGATCAAAATCCTAGTTGTTCAAGAACACCAAGGTAGGGGTTTTCTTCCATTCTTGTCCATTGAGGTTAGAGCATATCTATATGTATTCTTTTGACTTTAAATATTATATATATATGCTATGAAATCTTTATTTCTTGGTATCCTTGCAAAGACCACCATGTTTTAAGCAAAGTAATGGCTGGATAACCATTAAATCTCTTTTCTTGGTATAAAACCCTAGTTTTCAAGATAAATGGATTTTTCTCTTGATTCTTCCTTTGTTCTTGATTTAAAAATTCTAGTGCTTTGATTGGAACAATAAAAGCTTATCTTTTGATGATCTCTTGCTTATTTTATTGAATTGTTATGTTGGAAAAATATTACCTATGGAAATTGGGGATTTGATTTTTGGATTGACTTGTGATTTGAGAAAATAGTTGTTAGTACATCTCTTGTATGGTTGTTGTGATGGACTTGAATTACATTCGAGTACTGCCGTAGAGTGTTAGAGGTTAATCTATCCCAATGGGGTGAGATGGTTTCCTAACACTTGTAGTGGTTTGTTGTTTGTGAGAGCAACAACTACTGTTCTCGTAAGTTCGAGACTGAGGAATGGTATACCTTTCCTGGGAATGATTCATCAATGCCATGAGAGACGGTGTACGCCTTTCCTAAAGTGGTTTGTGTGGTTATGATTCGGTGAACGAGGTAGAGTCGTTGGGTAGATTCATGGGAAGCAACCAACATACATGAGAATATGGGTTGACACTATCAAAAGATTATTGTTATTGTGTGGAATTGGTTTCCTACAAGAGTTTGTGGAGGTATGGGACTCTACAAGAACTTGTGGGAAATGATTTATGGTTGAAAATGGTTAATTGATTTATTTAACATGTTTATTCGTTTCATTTAACTTGTTGCTATTGAGTTAACTTGAGATCAAATAAATTGTCACTGTTTTATTTTAAGTTATATATGCTATTTTGAAAATTGAGACTGAACTGTTTTATATGTTTTCTAAATCTTGTTCGAGTTTGAGAGAATGTTGCTACAGAGCTTAATNTAACCATTAAATCTCTTTTCTTGGTATAAAACCCTAGTTTTCAAGATAAATGGATTTTTCTCTTGATTCTTCCTTTGTTCTTGATTTAAAAATTCTAGTGCTTTGATTGGAACAATAAAAGCTTATCTTTTGATGATCTCTTGCTTATTTTATTGAATTGTTATGTTGGAAAAATATTACCTATGGAAATTGGGGATTTGATTTTTGGATTGACTTGTGATTTGAGAAAATAGTTGTTAGTACATCTCTTGTATGGTTGTTGTGATGGACTTGAATTACATTCGAGTACTGCCGTAGAGTGTTAGAGGTTAATCTATCCCAATGGGGTGAGATGGTTTCCTAACACTTGTAGTGGTTTGTTGTTTGTGAGAGCAACAACTACTGTTCTCGTAAGTTCGAGACTGAGGAATGGTATACCTTTCCTGGGAATGATTCATCAATGCCATGAGAGACGGTGTACGCCTTTCCTAAAGTGGTTTGTGTGGTTATGATTCGGTGAACGAGGTAGAGTCGTTGGGTAGATTCATGGGAAGCAACCAACATACATGAGAATATGGGTTGACACTATCAAAAGATTATTGTTATTGTGTGGAATTGGTTTCCTACAAGAGTTTGTGGAGGTATGGGACTCTACAAGAACTTGTGGGAAATGATTTATGGTTGAAAATGGTTAATTGATTTATTTAACATGTTTATTCGTTTCATTTAACTTGTTGCTATTGAGTTAACTTGAGATCAAATAAATTGTCACTGTTTTATTTTAAGTTATATATGCTATTTTGAAAATTGAGACCGAACTGTTTTATATGTTTTCTAAATCTTGTTCGAGTTTGAGAGAATGTTGCTACAGAGCTTAGTNGATTTAAAAATTCTAGTGCTTTGATTGGAACAATAAAAGCTTATCTTTTGATGATCTCTTGCTTATTTTATTGAATTGTTATGTTGGAAAAATATTACCTATGGAAATTGGGGATTTGATTTTTGGATTGACTTGTGATTTGAGAAAATAGTTGTTAGTACATCTCTTGTATGGTTGTTGTGATGGACTTGAATTACATTCGAGTACTGCCGTAGAGTGTTAGAGGTTAATCTATCCCAATGGGGTGAGATGGTTTCCTAACACTTGTAGTGGTTTGTTGTTTGTGAGAGCAACAACTACTGTTCACGTAAGTTCGAGACTGAGGAATGGTATACCTTTCCTGGGAATGATTCATCAATGCCATGAGAGACGGTGTACGCCTTTCCTAAAGTGGTTTGTGTGGTTATGATTCGGTGAACGAGGTAGAGTCGTTGGGTAGATTCATGGGAAGCAACCAACATACATGAGAATATGGGTTGACACTATCAAAAGATTATTGTTATTGTGTGGAATTGGTTTCCTACAAGAGTTTGTGGAGGTATGGGACTCTACAAGAACTTGTGGGAAATGATTTATGGTTGAAAATGGTTAATTGATTTATTTAACATGTTTATTCGTTTCATTTAACTTGTTGCTATTGAGTTAACTTGAGATCAAATAAATTGTCACTGTTTTATTTTAAGTTATATATGCTATTTTGAAAATTGAGACCGAACTGTTTTATATGTTTTCTAAATCTTGTTCGAGTTTGAGAGAATGTTGCTACAGAGCTTAATGCTCACCCCCTACAAACTATATATTTGTTAGATTGTGGTCTAGGCGAGGAGCTCGGAGTGGAGGAGCCGATACCTTGGGAAGCTCCACTAGACGGGCTCATGGACCCCGAGGTGGATGTCTAGGGTTATACTCTCCTAGGTGCTAGACTAGAAAATTTCTTTTGAAATTATGTAAAGACTAATCTTTTGTTATTCCGTTGCGAGTTTAAATGTAATTTTTTTGGGATGTAATTATCATAGTCAAACATATTCTTTTGGGATATGATAGCCATGTGTGGGCATATTCTTTTGGGAATGATGTAAATATTACATTTGGTGAATGGAATTTCATTTGTCGATGGATCATATTAGTTGCTCTCATAATGTGAATGGTTTTAAATTGTAATGTCATCCAAGGTGATTTTTGGGGCGTTACATAGCTATTGTACCTCTCCCGGAGCATACATCTCCCGGTGCTTTCTCTTTTACTTTATTCATCAATAAAGAGCCCTCGGCCACCGTTAACCGTTTCCCAAGAGTGGAGTAGGTCACCCAAATTGAACTATTATATATTTGTGTGATGACCTAATATTTATTGTTTTGCCATTGGTTACTTTATTAATTGTCTTATTTATTATACCACATCACACACTCGACTATTGGTCTTGCAAGAGATAGTTTTGTGCATCATCAAATGTAATGGTCATGATATTGATCAAAATTTGAGTCTAGTGGGACAATATATTATCAATAATTTGATATTCACAAATTCCAATCTTTCAGCATTTCGTAAG